TGATTTCTTCTAAATGAATTTTTTCTTGCCGTAAAAAAATACACCAATGAATAAAATACATCAATTTAATAAACAAATTGCAACTAACTAACTAATGAAATTGATAAAATACAACAAAATAATCAATTAATAGAAAATCGATGAACAAATTGCAATTAACTAACTAATGAAATTGATAAATTCCAGCTGTTTAATCAATGAATTAAAAAAAGCAATTACCAGTATTTCATAGTAGTGACGGAGAGTAACTAAAAAAGTGGCAGAAGAGAGTTTTCAAGTTGGAAGTTTATTTAATAAAAAAAGCAACTAAAAAAAAAAATAAACCAACTTGAGATAGCTTCGAGATTGAGAGTCTGATGAGAATGGGGTCTGTGGTAGTTGAATGAAGTTCTAGAGGCTCTTGCGACTTTCGAGTTGTAGGAGGGAAGAGTTTTGATGTGTTCTAGAGGTAAGCGTCAACCCTAATTCTTACAGGAGTACTACTTATAAAATGGACCATGCTAGGGTGCCACCACATGAGTGCTACCATGGGTGCACCCATGTGGTGGCACCCTAGCATTTTCCCTTATAAAATACCTTATTAAAAAGTAATTTAAAAAGTTGTTCATTCATGATGCGGGCATTATTGCGCCTCACATCGCATCGCATAAGATGCGATATTGCGCGCGCCTCAAGAACGTCGCGTGCATCAAGGTCAATGATGCACTAAGGGTTGCGCTTCGTGTGCATCGTGCCTCGTGCGCACCTCACGCGCTATGCCTGCGATGCTGAGCCGCAACTCCAAATCCCAAATTGGACTACGTTTTATTTCATCAGATTGCATAATTTCTCGTATGGTGCTAGGGATTTTCGAGCCATTTCATTTTTAAGCAGCATTTACCAATAAAATCATATGGAGTACTCCCTCCGCCCCCCTGTATTTGTCCACTTTCATTTTTACACAACATCCAATGCACTTCTTTAATCCATTTTATCTTGTAATTTGTATATTAAAAATTATAGAAATTATATATTAATAATCTATATGTTAAGACAAATCAAACAAGATCACACATGACTATATTTAGGCTTACACATTGAGAGAATTTGATGAGTCAAAGTGCTTAGATGAACAATTCCAAAAGTCAAATGTGGACAAATACAGGGGGACAGAGGGAGTATTAATTAATTACATATTACTAGTCATGCATTTTCTCAATTTTAAATTTTTGCCAGTCTACCTATTTATAGTCGACGTAGGTGGTAGGTTGACACATTATCATCACCACCTCTACTTCGAGGTAGGGGTGAGCAAATTAACCGGACCGACCGTTAAACCGAAAACCGAAAGCCGAATGAACCGCTAAATCGGTTTCGGTTTCGGTTTTCCATGACAAAAAGTTCGGTTATTTCGGGTACTTCGGTTTTGTGTCGGTTTTGATTATCGGTTTATTCGGTTAACCGAATAACCGATATATGTGTTTTGTTTGGGTAAACCGAAGTCTACTAGTTTGTAAAGCCCAATAGCAAGTCGGCCCACTTCATTATCCGAAACTGGGAATTGTGTGATCAGCCCACTTCATTATCCCTAGGGAAACCCTTGGCTTTACGGAACCAAAAGATCTACCGTGATGGTCGCCATCGTCTTCATCCACGCTGCATTTCGGGAATCAGAAGATCTCTTTCTCGATGAGCACGAGACCCCGTCAGTCCGTCATGTGGTTCCACTCCTTCTTAAAGGCCGACCCCTGTTCCCAGCGTTGCCCCTCGGCCTCGGACTTGAGCGGCGAGTCTGTGATCTGGAAATCACGGCGGCGTTGGTAGCAATTTTTCAGCCATTCATATCAAAATGAGGAAATTTACAATTTTGCCTGGAGGGGAATTACTCATTTAGTGGTTGAGAAAACAACTTATTTCATTGTTTAAGAACAATAATTGGATTCTGCTGCAATTGGAAGTCCCAGTGCTTCTCGTGATGGTTCCGGCCATGGTACCTGTTTAACTATTTTTTTTATTTTTTGTATGGTTGCTATGGAATTCGGTTTTTAACAACCGACCGAAACTATTCGGTTTAATCGGTTTTGGTTTTTTCGGTTATCCAAATACACCGGTTCGGTTTCGGTCGGTTTTTTTGCATCTGAAAAAATTTCGGTTAGTTCGGTTTTGACCCGAAACCGACCAAACCGACCCGATGCTCACCCCTACTTCGAGGTATGTGAAATGTATCAATATCAATTTATTTGTCATTTTTTAATTTAATTTATGTTTTGGAGTCACCGTATGGTAGTATTAAGGGAGAGCAATCACGCGAGGTTTTTTCAATTTATTAGGTACAACTCAAAAATTTGGTACACCATTATATTCTATTGCTAATTACTACCTCTGTCCTAGTGTATTTGTTCAGTTTGACTTTTTCAAGTCAAATTGGAAAAACTTTGAACTCCAATTACTCTCAATTTATATTGCATATTAGTATAATGAAATACAATTTTGAAAGTTCTCTGATGGGAAATAATACGTGGCTCGTCCCACATTTCCCAATTATTTACGAAGAACAGTCAAACCGGACTTGTTTAATAAAATGGAGGAATAAGAGAATATTCTCCGAATATGCTTCCCTCCTCCCCTATAAAAGGAGGACTCCCCCTCAATTTTGAAGGAGGCCAAACTCACCCTCTCCCCTGCACATTACACCTTCTCTCTCTAGAATCTTTATATATTTTCTTTTTCAAGAGCTTGTAGCTCCACCATTAATGGCTTCCGAGCCCGTTTCATGTATCGTGTACACACCCCCGATGTTAATAAAATCCCCCGTTGGCAAGGTATCGCCAAAAAAGGCCCGTGGTTTTCTCCCGATTTGGGTTTCCACGTCAAAATTCCCGTGTTTATATTTTGGTGTATTTTTAGACTAGTTTATCGTTTTAGCCGGGCTAAAAACGATATACCGGTCGATAATTTACACCATCATTCTCAATACAATAAATTCAATAAAGTCATTTTTATGTTAAAATACATTACATTTTTATTTAATTGAAACTCAAAGTTGGTTCAATTTGACTCAAAAAAGTCAAACTGTACAAATACACTAGGACGGAGGAAGTATTAAACAATCCGAACAACATTCTTCAAGTAATTATAACTAAACTCATCAATGATTTAATGCAATATCCTTCAGTAAAAAAATGCCACTATGGTTGAACAAAAGCATCATACGTTTACAAATCAATTTTGGATGTGGGGAGTCTTTATTTGTCAAATGATAAACAAAGATGATTCAAAATGAATTTCATTTACCACATGTTCAATTCTCTTCATTTTTTGGTTTTACATTTTAGTTTTAATAATAAATTTAAAAGAATGAAATGTTTTCATTTAGGTAGAGTATTTTTCATTTAAGTTGATTTTAAAAATATTTAGTAGTTTTTGGGCTACCAAAAATATTGATTATTTGTGTCCATTATTGGCAAAAAATAAGGTTTTTTAAAATTCATTATAGCTACTACTAAAAAATTGGGACATAGAGAGTTTTATTTCATCCATAGAAGAATGAGTTTGCAACAAATTGGGACGTATAGAATTTTATTTAGGCCGGAGTGTTTTAACAGAACGAAATGATTTCATTTAGGGAAAAGTATTTTGATTTAAGTTGTTTTAAAAAATATTCAACATCCTTGAAATTGATATCAAGTAAATCTTGATTGGGTACTACAATTCGTGCAAGGCACCTAAAAATGCTAGCGTGTGTGTGTCTATATATATATATATATATATATATATATATATATATATATATATATATATATATATATATATATATATATATATATATATATATATATATATATATATATATATATATA